ACTGGTGATGCCAAACCACCCTCAACCGTCTTCTCGCCGATCTCCACCGGAGGAGATACCCCCGCCGGCATCAACATCGCGGCCTGAGCCCTAACTTGGGCGAGAAACTTTGAAAACCCTAATCGCCTTTCCCTTTCTTTTTTTTTCTTTCGTTAATTCGCCGGACTCCATTATTGCAAAGAAATTCCTTACATCAACTTATGGTTTTACTTGAATGTTGCTTCGAATATCATATTTGAAGTGTTTCAAACATAGAGTAAGAACCATGATCCTTTTTTTTTCATCGAAAAACCACCATGATCTCTAATATTAGTTTCTTTCTGCCATTAAACTATATGAAATGAAAATTCTCTAATGACATGTTAGATGTAGCGATGATCCCTGATAAATGTTTCTTTTTTTTTTTTTTTTTTCAACAACCCAACTATTACATCACATTTGGCCCATTAAGGAATTAGTCCGAAAACCATCCTCAACTGACTTGGTATGAATGATTTGGGAGAAAGTACTGCCTTTTGCTCGAGCTCCTTTTGCAAGACTATCCGCTCGGACATTTGAACTTCTTGGGATATGGGAGAGAGTGAAATCCAAAAAGCTTTCTCGAAGGATACAAAAGGTTTCCAACTCTGATAAGAAAGATGGCCAATCTGATGGAGATTCAGACATGCTTACTAAGTCCGAGCAATCGGTCTGAAAATGTACAGATAAAATTTGTCAATCTTTCACGCAATACATAGCCCATAAAAGGCTCTCCAATTCGGCATGAAGGGCCGATAGGCTCCTACAACAGCCCTGAAGGCCAAAAATCTCACCACCCCTCACCTCCTTCAGACTCCACCCGAACCCACTAACCAGACTGTTGCCTATCCAAGATGCATCAACCTGACAAATCGGGAACCTCTGGGCATCGGGTAGAGAAATCTGGAGAAAAGGAGTGAGTGAAGCCTCATCTGCTCCGTCCTCTTCTTCTTCTGGTTGGTTTGCAGTCTTCCAACTTTCTGCTTCAACCTTGGCGTGGATCAAAATATCTACCGGAGAAATTTATTTCCCGTTGAAGATCTTTAATGTTTGATCAATGCTTTTTAATCTGCTCCAATTTGAAGCTTTAGAACTTGTCATATTGGATCATCGAGCCTTGAATCTTCATTCGCTATTTTTTAAATTCTCATCTAGGATTTTTCTCTGAGACTGTATGATCTGTAACTCGTCTTTACTGTAAATCTCTTGAATTGTTATAAACTGATCATTTCCTGAAAAAACAGAGAGATCTCAAGTTGGACTAACTTGGACTAATTAAAATGTAATCAATAGTATCCGACTCAACTTGGTAAAACCTTCCATCAAAATGTTTGTCAACTTCCTTTCTGTAAAGAAGACAATCCAACTTCTCTTCATCACTTGTACAATCAAAATAAACAAGAATAGATCTTGAGATTTAGCTATGGAGAAAACGTCTCTCAAGCTTGTCTTCTTGTTCTCCCTCACAATCATAGCATTTTGTAAGCTTCTTCTTTGTTATATAATTTGTTTGGTTTGGATTTCTATTAAAGGTTGTGGTGTTGTATGTGTGAAGGTTTGTTTTTGGGTGATTCAAGAGATATGGCGGAGGAAGAAGTGAGTTGCCTAGGTGGAAATGTCCGAAAAGAAACAAGAATTGTAACTGCTTGCCGCGCGTAGCACCTATAATGGAGTCCACTGGTGTTTGCGAACATGATAATGATTGCAAGAAGTACTGTCCTCCAGAATGCAAGTCTAAGAAAAGAACCTGTGTAATGATGGACACTGTTTCTGTCAGTGTTAAGGAGTTCAAAAAAACACTGTAATTTATACTTATAAGATAGAGAGGAACAAAAAATATACACATTCAAATCAATTTATTACTCCCCTTTAATAACATGGCTCCACACCTGCTCAATACAATTGGAATTTGAGAGAATTTAAGTACTAAAAGGCCCTGAGACAGGTCCAGTCATGTTCAAACAATGTGTTCAAGTTCCAAAACGTTTCTCAGGTTTTCCAGCAGCTTGCTATGTTTCTTTCACTGCTAACAAGAGGTTCCGAGAAAGCTCCGTCTCTGCAGAGATTTTGCACATTCTTGTTAAGAATTTTCTAAGATCAAGGATCACTCGCAAAGGGCTCTCGAGATGTACAGCGTGACCAGCTTCTGGGATTTCAACCATCTCAATGATGTTGTTTTTGCTCTTCTTGCTTTTACTCATCTCGTGGTACATTCTAGTAGCAATCTGCTTGAATTTGACATCTTTCTGTCCGAAGACAAGCGATATATTTGTATCACAATCCTCCAGGTCTTCCCATAATGCCCTATTTTTCAAAGAACATAACAACATCATCATCATCATCATCATCATCATCATCATCATCATCATCATCATCATCAAAGATCATCGCTTATGAATCAAATTCATGGAAGAAAAAATGTTCCAAAGATGAACTTACAGTTGTCTCCCACTGCTTAGGTCTGAGAGGAGCTTTGCGACACTAAGGACATCATCATGTAGCAAGCGGCTTGCAACTATTTTTCTAAAATGAGGATGCATTTTCGAACTACTCATTGCAATACTCACTCATATGAGTATGAAATTCATGTCCAGTTAACTAAGTCATTAAATTACACAAAACTGCACTGTATTAAGAAAGTCACCTTTTCCACAAGCCTCCATTGTACCAGTTCTCCATAAAAAAACTTGTAGTCCATGGTCAATCAGCATTCGTGATTTACAAACATCTGTTGCACTTCGAACTTTCCTTGCCACTGGATCCTTGAGTCCGGGGCTCCCTGATACAACAACAGCTCCTTCTATCTATAGAACAGCATCCAAATTGCATTATCCATATTATTAAACAATGTTGAATTTTCAGACAAAGGGAACCCACCTTGTTGCTAAACCTCAACGCCATGTACAGTGCTATTCTTGCTCCCATGGAATACCCAACTATGGTAACTTTCCCAGGAGTGAATTGCTCAATCAATTTATACAGCGTTTTCGCTATCATCTCCATTGATAAAGTCGGCACCTTCTGGGTCTCACTAGCATGACTTTGTACCCTTGAGTTTCCGTGGCCAGGTATATTAACTGATATGCATCTCGCGGATCCCGAGATAGCCTTCATGATGGGGATCCATTCTTCACCAGTTCAAAGAAACCCATGAAGAAACAAAGTTACTCTTTTTAGCTTCTGACATACAAAATCACAAGGAAAAGCTTACTTCTGCATTCTACCCAACGTCATGGATTCTTATAAAATGAGAGAAACAAGGAAAATGCTAGTACTTCCATTTTGTTTTGGTTTGTTGTTGTTGTTTCGCGTTTTGAATTTTGATCTTTTCATGGTAATGTTTGAATCTTTGTGGTAGTAAATTAGGAATAGTTGTGGGTCGATCTCTTTGAAAAATGTCAAAGATCTTCTGGTGCAAAAGCTTGAGAAAAGAATTTCAGAAAATAGAGAGATAGTCTCAGAACTCAGAAGTACTCACTTTGAGGGAAAATGTGAAATCAGCTGAAAAAAACCTGCAATACCAAGCTTGAGCTGAAAAGTGTCAATGCATCAAAACAATAAATTCTGGCACATCTTGCTGAAATGGAAAATGCGAATGATTCGGTCAAAGAAAGCCTTTTCGAGGCAGAAAGCAGAGCCGAGAGTGGAGAAACTAAGATTCAAGAGCTAACTGCTGAAAATCTTGAACTTACTGAGGAAATTTTTTCTCAAAGACGCTGATGACAAAAAGATAAAGAAGGTGAATTCCCTCGAGAAGCAACTCAGGGAATCAGAAGTTCAATTACAAAACTCCAAGGTATCATCAAAAGCAAGTCAAGAACAGCAGAAGATGTTGTATTCAGCTATATGGGATATGGAGACCTTGATCAAAGATCTAAAATCTAAAGCCACTAAAGGTGAGAGTAGAACGGAAATAGTTTAGGAGCAATGCATTGTGCTTTCTACCAAAAACTCTGTACTTAACAAAGAATTGACCTTTTTGAGGCAAAGAGCCAAATCCTTGGAAGTATCATTGGATCTAGAAAACGATGAAAAAGAGAAAAATGCTCAAGAAATAACTACGATGAACAAGCTTTTGATGGATATGGTGATGCAATTATCAAGTGAAAGGGAACGTATACAAGAACAGGTACTTTTGGCTATGTGCCTAATTTTTTTCTTTATACAAGCAAAGGGACACACAAGCCAACCATCAATGTCTTTTTGCAGCTACATTCTTTGGCAAAGGAAAATGAAAAACTGAGAGTGAATCAATGCTTAGCGGGAAATAAGTACCAAAGAAATTGACCTTATGCTGGAGAAAAAGAGCCGAATCGAGGCATTTGCTGAAAATCTGCAGGCAGGTATTCAGTTTTTTGCTTTAGAAGAATGATGGACAAAGCAAAATGTAGATGATTATGAGATGTGAAAACCGGAGCATCTCTTGTACTAATCTTATTTGGTATTTGCTCTCTTTGAGAAAGGGGATGAGAGAACAAGGGAAGTACCAGAAACTGATGTTGAACCGGAGGACCATTCTACGTTTGCAAAGAGTAGCATGAAAACGGAGATGAGAAGAGCAATCAACTTGAGATGGATACCAGTTCTTTGCTTTGGCTGTTGTTAACGGAAAATTTATTTCAATTTGAAGATATGTTTATCTCTCTCTTGGCAATAGCATTAGCCATTTGTATATCGTGTTGTAAATACTCATTATGGCTTGTATTCATTTCAAGCAATGTATCTCCACTGTTGGTTTATTTCCCTCTACAGAAACAAATCCGCCACTAATGAAGTTTTCCTAAAACTGAGAGATCTCAAGCTGGAGTAGTAACACACAATGTGTAATCAAATAGTATCTGACTAAACTTGGTAATACCTTCAAACAAAAGATTTGTTGCCGTTTAACTTTCTTCTATAAAAGAACAAGGCAACCCATTGCTATTATCATCACTTACACAATCAAATAAATAAGAAAAAGATTTTGAGGTTACAAATTATAAATGGAGAAACCGTCTCTCAAGCTTGTCTTCTTATTCTCCCTCACAATCATATTATTGTGTATGCTTCTTCCTTGATGACTTCTTCTTTATTATATAGTTTTTTTGTCTTGGTCGTTTTTTTTTTAATGATGTTATTGTGGGGTGTTTTTGCAAAGGTTCATGAAGTGATTAGCCTCGGTGGCAACTGCTTGCCGCAAGTAGCACCTACAATGGACACTTATGAGACCAATGCATCTTGCCGTAGAGACAACGACTGCATCCAGTACTGTCCTAAGGGCTGCAAGATTGTTAACTGTAATTTTGGAACCTGTTTCTGTGAGTGTTAAGAAATTAGAAATCACCATAATATCTACTTAGAATACAGAGAGGAACAAGAGATTTCAAATAGATATAGAAAATTGTTTAAATCAATTTACTACTCTCCTTGAAAAGAATATCTCTGCACCACTCAAAACAGTTGGAATTATTATATACAATTAACTACTGAGGGCCTGAAACATGTTCCAAAACATGATTTCTTGTGGCCTCAGATGTCATCTTTTTGGGAGGTAAATTTCAAATCATCACTTAGATCAAACAAATTACTAACATTACCTCCCTTGGCTGATTGCCACATGGGTCTTTCCCAAAAATTTGGTTTCTTAGCCGCATGCAATACTCATGTATCAGAGAGAATTTTCATTCCTCGCTATGGCTAGGTTATATGGCTTTAGCTGACAGCACGCTTCTCATATTCGGTGGGACAAATATTCTTATTGTTTGCAGGTATCGCATAGAAGCGAGACATCAGGA